ATTTATTGCGATCAACGAATACACATACTTACTTGCACTCTGTGACTCGTGGGTAGGGTTTTGAAAGGGATTCTTTTTTCTTTATTTTCGTTCCTTCGCTCTGAATGGGAGGAAACGAGGATGGGCGATATCCTCGAGCGAGTCAATTCGATTTCGATGTTAATGGGCTGAATTTTTAATTTTATTACGCCCTCGTTAGGGAGGCCGAGTCGCTCGATCGTTGCGGGCTGATGGGGATCCCGATATGGTGGAACGCGAGGTAATCGAGGAAGAAAAGAAAAAAAAAACTAGAACCGTATGGAGTGGATGAGAAAAATTTCCATGTTGAACATTTGTGGGTATACCAGCTTTTCCAAACCCGAAAACGCTTCCTGTGGAGGATTAAGACGTCCTAGAACAACAAACAGGAGATCGGCCAGCGAGAAATACGTTTGCTACCGCATAATAGGTGTGTACACTGACTTCCGACACCGGATGAGCGCGTAATATCGTACCCAAGCGCGTGCACTATTTTTTTCCTTTTCGTTCCTTCTGCCGAAAATTATACGAAGCAACGACGGTAGGAGAGAGCGTACTCCTTTTCCCACGAGCTATTTTTTTTTTTTTCTTTACTTTAAATGCGTATTATGCAGATTTGATGTACTTACCTATACATCCGATGTACAAAAGTGGGCCTGGTAATCGCTGCCGAATTCACGTGCACGAGATTCGTAAGGNGTTGGTATTTTATGCATCAAATGCATAAAATACTAATATTTAATGCATAATAGCACTCCTTATTTGATTTAATCTACATAACCATATTTATGCTAATTTAATTTTTTGTTTTTTTAAATTTATTATTTAGAAAAAAATTTTTTTTTAGGAGACAGAGACATCTAGTAAGTGACTTCCGTTTTATGTAAATCTGTCGTTTTTAAAATTACAGCCCCCCAAGTACGCAACATAAAGAACTTCGTTGTAGTAAATAATCAAATTAATAATATATCATTAATTGAATGTATTATCATTAAATGCAAATGAAAATGAACTAATTGCTTGGAAGTGTAAAGGGGAATGGTGGGCATGGTGTACAGGAGAGTAGCGCAGCACGGTTGGAGGATATATGGTGGGGTGAGGAGAAGTGTGTAGGAGTGGAACTGATGGTGGGGGTGACAGGGTAAGGGGGAAATACAATGAATTAGGAGGAAGATACTTTCAGTAAGCCACTTTCGTTTTATACAAATCTGTCGTTTTGAAAATTCCAGCCCCCCCAGTACGCGACATAACGTACTTCGTTCTAAAAAACTAACGATTGCCTAACGTCCTATCAAGAAATATTGTTAATAAATAAACACTCTTATACGTGTTAATTAATGCTCCATGAGCAGTTAATAGGGGGTTAAGCTTTTGGAGTTCGCCGTTTATGGGAGTGCTACTTGTTATGCACTATGCCAATACCAATGTGATGCCAATTTAAGCCATTATTGAGATTTTTTTACCTCGAGAAATAAAGTAACTAATTAATGTTATGTACAAAAAAGTTTTTTCTGGTTCCCCTAGTTATCGTTTAACTTAATTTGACTCAAGATACATTAAATTGATAATTTGTTTACAAGATAAGAATTTCCTAGTGTTATCGTTCAAGTTTGATTTTCTTTTTTGATGGATCAATACAATAAGCATAATTTATCTTCAGATTAATAAAATTTGATTTATGTGTAGAAAAGCATGGTTTTGTTACTATGAAAAAATCTTCTGGGTATAAACCACGCAAAAAATTGTTATAATTGTAATGGAAACGTAGATGTGGTAGTTTAACTAAAAGCTTTATTGATTCAAGTATGATTAGTAAGTTTCTGTTCATGCATGAAAAGAGCTTATAACCTATTTAACCAGTGACACCTACCGTATCTTATTTTTACTCACTGCAGCATGAAATTTACCGCTGCCTAGTACAAGTTTTCCTGGTACCAGCACCGAATGTTAAAAGTGTTTTTTTCGGTGCTAGTGCCATAAGAACCCGTGCTAGGCAGTGGTAAATCTCATGTTGCAGTGAGTAAAAATAAGATACGGTAAGTGTCACTGGTTAAATTGGTTCTAACCTGTCTCTGTTATAAGCTATTTAAACGTTGTCACTTAATATGATTTTAATCTTGCAGTTCTAAAACTTAACGTCTCAAGCACCTGGGTGGTAACAATATATAAACTGTAAAACTATTATATCATTGTAAAACTACTGCTTTATTATCGTTCGTACGCCTTTTGAAAGTGCTACTGTTGATTTCGATCAAGTGTCCTATAAATAGTTTGTTTACGTTATAATAGCTGGAAATAAATCATTTCCATGGTAATTTATTTTTTTTATGTATGTGTTATTTTGGCGAATTGCCTTGGTCTTTGAGCTAAACTTTCACTTATGGCTTAGGATCTTATACTAGTTTCTTTCGTATAGCAGTTAAATAGACGAAAATGGACCGTTATGCGGTATGGTACGTGAGAGAGGTTAACCACATGCCAGCCACTCTCACAAGACGATGCAGAATTATACGTGAGCAAATCAACTCACATGTTTTTTTGCAGAAAGACGAGCAATCCAAAAGATTTGGAAAGGCAGATCTTTGGAATATGTATGGCTTTAGATATAGTTTTGACTTACTTTTTATTTATTCCTGAGTACTAGAGGGTACTCGTATCAACGTGCAGTTAGAAGTTAATTGGCTTAAGAAACTTGACCAAAGTAAGTCAAGTAGAAGGACCTCGATCAAAGGTGGTCTTAGACGGTGCTGAGAGAAAGCTGCCAATTAAGAGCAGAGCGATGGTGTGCTGAATAAGACTAATTGGTTAAGACTCATTAGTGCAGGATGCTTTGAGCCTTATATACGGTTTGCTCAGGTCAGTTCCAGGTCGTTATTCTAACATATACGTAAAGTTAGGATGTTGGAAGGAGATCCCAAGTACTAACCCGGAAAAGCGATCATTCAATAAAAAAGCGTGTTTTCTATGTCATGCCTTCGCAAAATTTGGGGTCACTACTCAGGTTTAAGCATATGATAGCTTGCGAGTTTTAGAAAATTTGCTTTCCAGCTTATGATACTAAAGAGAGGGGAGATAATTTATTATTCTTCCTCCCACCTGTTCTTCCAACAAATCTCTCTTAGGACTAAATTGTAGGAATAAAAGAGTGGACCCAATTCATAATAACAGTCATAATAGTAAAGCTAACACTGATAATGATATAATTAGTAGCAGTAGTTATAACAATAATATTAGTAAAAACGAAAGTTATAATAATAATAATCCTAGAAATAATAAAAGTTGTAGTAGTAATAATGAAGATAACAGTGACAACATCATTATTTATATAGTGCCAATACTAATGATTGTATGGACTTTGTGTGAAAAAAATTCTAGTAACACATATCGTACTAATCAGTCTAATGTTTAACTATATGTGAATTTCGAAAACAATATTAGAAGTGACAATATAAAAGTTTTTATTTCAAAATTAAAGTGAAAAAAATAAAACATTATAATAATCATGTTGCCTCTTACCAATTGTTACAGTTTATGAAAAAGATATCTGTATACAATTACTTATTAATATGAATATTAATATTTATGTCTTCAACATACTATTGTTATAATTATTAAAGAAGGAAAAAAAAAGGTAAGAGAGGCTTGTTTTTAGCTATTAGTTGTACATGGCAGTAGGAGTGGGTGTCTGCCTATTACAGTATTGGAGTAAGGAAGGTACAAATCGCTGATAGGTGGTGTGGCTTCTTTTTTATTTGACTAAAAACAATATCCGGTGTTTGACATACTTTTGAAATTTCTTCACGAGGTGGGGTGTTGTCTGGTTTCTCACGTAAAAAGGTTATCGAGAGCAATAGACAATATTAGGTACATGGCATGCTGGTAAGACTCCTTAAGAGTCGTTTCTTCTTGAAGGTGATAAAGAAACGCCAAATGCCTTTCCCTCTTTGATGCTACTTCTGCAGATGGATAAATGTAGTAGAGAGAAAGAACAGGGCAAAAGCAGAGTGGATGCTTCAGTCAATTTAGCATTTTGAAATTGGATTCGAGCTACTGACATCACATGAGTATAGAACAAGTTCTTTAAAATATCACTTTTGTAGACCCACGTCCGTACTTTTTGTAAAAAGGAGGGGGTCTGGAATATTGACAGTGTACCTCAATTTTTTAGTAAAATTATGAATGTTTATTCCAGCTACGATGATTTCGATGACAGTGACACCTCCAGTACAACGGCTGTTCATTATTTCAATAGCCAATCACAAAGTAGTAAGAATAAAAAGTGAAAGTGAACTGCTTTGTGATTGGCTATCGAAGTAACGAATAGTCGCTCTACAGTGCTGAAATAAATATTTATAGTTTAAGGACCAAAATGAAGTCAAGTGTCAATATTTCAGAGCCATTCCTCCTTATAATACATGTAGCACTGATAGTTAGCATTGGATATGCATTTTATTCAAATTTTACTACCAGCATCATTATCCATTTAGCAATTTTTATTTCTTTGAATTTTAATTTTTAAAATATTAAAATATACCCTAATGAAAAACTTGCACTATTTTCCAAGTTGTTTGTTCTTAACTTTTCGAAAATATTGCTGCCGTGTGTTTAAAAACTTCTTGATTTTGCTGCAATCACATGAGATTATTGTTATTTTATATGTATAGGAATGGACTGCGCAACCCAACAGATCAACTCATGTCAAAACAAGAAAAAGCGAGTGAAAATAACGTATCTTTTTATCTTTCTAACTGTGAGAGTAATAGGGAGACTGAGAGGCATAAGCATCTATAATCTTACACGAAGCGAGGATGGCTTCCTTTTCTGCCAACCTGCTACTTTGACAGTTAGAAAGAGAAATAAATAAGATTTAAATTGTCATAATTTTAATAAATTAATGATCAGTTGTAGTATTGATTTACGATAAACTTAATGTTTCCTTATCTCATTTTTTCAAAGTAAGTTTTTTATTTTTTATTTTACAGGTATATTGTTTTACCAGATACATTTATTATTCATCGACCACACGCCCCTAGTCGAGATATTGGAAAATTCAGAACAGACGCTTCATACAGACGGTATACTATAATTTTTATTTAGTTAAATAGAAAACTAATCTTATCACTACACAAAACTGTTAACACTTATCATTTTTATTAATTTTTTTAGATGCCTAAAATCAATAAAAGACATGTTTATAGATAATATTCTTAGACAACTTGGAAACACAGCTTTAATGAATCTTAAAAAAATGTTTAACAAAGATGTCAAGAACGCTCAAAACATATCAAACCTGTGAACTGTGTAGCAAAATGATTCGTTTCTGATGCGTTGGTTGTGCCTTGATCATACAAGACTATAATAAATTTCAATTTGATATAACAGAATTTGATTGTTGTCTATTTTATCATTCAGCAATTTTTTTTATTAAAATGATTAGTCACAATATATTTTGTAATCTTTGTTGTTTTAGATAATATTTTAAATCTTATAATTTTATTTTGTATCTATTTGTGAACCTTTTTTGAAAAATATTTTAATATATGTTGTACCTTAACCGATACATTTCTTTTTATTTCTTTTATTATGCATAATTTACTATTAGGCACTAACTACAGAAATAGTGTTTTTTTACTAAAATAATATTTTATCATGGAGATAGACAGGAACTGTCTAAGTATCAATAACATGAATAATTAACGTGTAACTGATAGAAAATTAGAGTTGATCATAAATATTACAATTTTTATTAGAGATTTATTACTTAACGATTTTGAACAAAATCTTAAAGTATAACACGTCATCATGAAGCAACAGAGGCACGTAGACCTCAATTATTCACATTGACCGTCTCTTCCCTTGTACCTATTAGGACATATGATATATAAAGCGTAAGTATACAATTCGATGATTTATTTTTCTGTATGTTTGCTCAACAGAGATATCATCAGACATACAAGAGTGCATGAGTTAGTTGTAAAAAAACAAAGCACCAAACAATGTGGTAAAGGTATAATTAATGCTCCTAAAATTATTGTCATTCATCCACAGTCATAATTCAACAAGATCAGAGAATGAAAAAGAAAAACGTGCAGATTGTCATAGTCCTGTAATTTATCTGTTGTGTTGAGGTACCCACTATAACTGCTTCTAAAAAAGCAGTTTTCAAACGGTGAAATATCGACCACAGTCTTTAAAATAGAAGAATTAATATTTCTTAATTACCATTTTTATTAACAATAATTAAGAGCAATCAAAGAGCCTAAGATTCTTGTACATATTTTACTCTTTGAATTCACAAATCATAGTATCTCAAAACCAAAAATTTTTTCTGTACTTAACATACAGACATACATAAAATACACAAACTTTCGTGCTTCGCAAAGGCTTCTAAACGAGTAAAAGGATTTTTTTTTAATATAGAAGTATAAACACCCACTTATCCTTACTTCTCCATCTCACATTAAAATACTTGTTAATAATTACATGTATGCAGGTTACGGTTGATAGGTAACGTAGTTATGACTTTGCTTACGGTAGATATCACGCACTGTTGAAAACTAAATCTTCTGTCTTTGTAAGAATGTATAAAATTTCCTCCCCCATGGTCTCTCTCTACATTATTCCTTGTATATATATTTTTTTTTACCTGTATTCACCCTACATTTATCTGTGGAAATCTGCCTATACATAAGGTTGTATTAAGTGCAGTTAATAGGTTTCTCCTTCATGTTTCCTATGAGACTACTTACTTACCTTCACCATCCGTGCTTTGTCCTGCTCTACCACGTTTTTTTACACTCTCCAATTCGTTTTAGATTTCTACCGCTGTCTAACGCTTACCTCTCCCGACCCTTTCAAATCCCTACTATAATTTAACTTCTCTATGCTTTCTGTCACATTATCTTCTATGTAATTAACTGATAACCTACTCATGCATAAAGACGTATTGTGTGTGTTTGTCATTCTGCTGTTACACTTTTATTTAGCTTCCTTGCTCTTCTCATTACTATCTATGTTACTGTACATCCCCTCCTTCTTCTTTCATGCTACGTTTTGGCCCCTCATCAACCCCTCACCATACTTGTTTTTCTCCCTCACATTTTTTTACAGCCATCTACACGTCATTCGTTATAGGTTGTATGATGTGTGGTTTTCAAGTTCCTTTCACACGCATTCCTTTCTCTTCCTAACTTCTCTGCAATTTCTCGGATTATTCAATGCTCCTCTTCGCTCCTTCTATAATATATATGTTTGGTTATTGTCATTTTTTTCTGTACATAATTTGCTTCTTCATTACCCCTTTTTTGCTTTCTTTCCACTCTTTTTCTCATTCCCATAATCTTTCCCTTATTTACTGTCACGTAATATTCTCTACATTATTTTTTGCGTATACGTACAAAAATTTTCTCTATTCTATCTCGTTTTTCGCTGTAACGATGATTTCGTGTAAAAAATATTAAAAGATTAGCTACCATTTTTGAAATAAGTTCATTTAAGTCGTATTCAGCATTGATTTGTTATTCTCCCACTTACTTCTGTTTGCTCCCCTCGTCTAGTATTTTTCTGCATGAACTAAACAGATTAATTATTTGTATTTTATTTACGTTAAGTATATTTTATAACTATTTGATTTGTATCAGAGACTATCCTCTGCAGCCCTATTGACTGCGTCCTACGTAAAAGCGTGATCACGAAGAAGTCAACTAGTTTTTTAATAGTTTAGAAAGGGGGAAGGTGCTATAAATTTTAAGCTAATTCATTGAATTGACAAAACTTAAATTTTGGCTACCAAAAAATTAAGTGAATAAATGAAACCACGGAATATTAAATTGACAAAGACTACTTTACCAAATTTAATTGATGGAGGACAGGGAAAATGCAGGTTCTAAAAATAACACAGTACTTATAATCTAGCAAACGAAGATATAATTCGTGACTCAAAGGAGGAAACTCCGAAAAGAAAAGCCTCTGAAAAAGAATTTGAAATATGAGCAGAATAGTACGATGATGAAAAAAAATCTGAAAAAACATTTCTTGTATGTAGTGTGTGTAGGAGTGTAGGTGTAGATGTGCGTCTGCACCTCTCAGTCTCTCACGACCGTAATAACTGTCACATGGTTCCGCCAATGCAGATTTTCGCCGTGCGTTGCTTGCATCACGCTGATCTTCACCTCGATTTTGAAAACGTAAACGCAAATAAAACCAATGCGTGAGTTTATGAATTTGGTACGCAATAATGTGAAATTCAATAAAAACTAATGAAACGAGAAAAATTCCGAAAAAACCAAGTACTTCTGATCACAGTTAGTAACAACTGGAAACCACTGTGTACAGAGGCAATATCGAACTGTAGAAGACACGCCGAATTCTCCGAACGAGTATAACTTCACCTTCTCCGTTGACCCTTCCTTTCTAATAATGCATCAATTAGCAGAATTGTTATGCATCTCGAATTGCCGATTGGTCTTCGGGTCATGAAAAATACCGAAGACGAGCGAGACGAAACTGAGAGCCTTAAAGAGAGAAAGAGCCTAGACGAACAATAGACGCACGTCAACAAATGTATCAGAGAGAAAACAGTGATTTTAGCCATGATTTTATATTGCTGTTGATGCGAATATGCTGCGAGCTTCAAGAATCCTCCGCACGCGTGACAGTGCTCGTATATGGGTCATTCTTTTACAAACCTAACGGATTTTGTTAAAAATTAATCGTCACCTCTCCAATTGGGCTGAACATTCGGTTTACATTGTAAATTGTAAGAATTTATGAAAAAATACATGAATTCGCATATGGGTGATTCTTTTACAAATCGAGCGGATTTTGACCTTCACCTCTCTGATTCGGCTGAAAATTTTTTCCAGTTTCTATATTAAAAAATAACAGACACTTGTCGGAGGAATTTTTTTTTTATCACCTATTTTCGATATTATAAGTTATAACAAATTTCATGATAGTGATTGGAGAGTCATTTTAAACAATGTATAGCTTCGAATCCTCAAGAGCTACAAAATTTTCACCAGTGGCACTTTTGTAGCTAAAGAGTTGAACTTTTAGAACAAAAATTGAAAAATAAAAAATTATCAACAAGTTAATATTGCTATTGGAAATTTAATTGTTTGAATCGATTTTTTAACAATTGCGCCCAAAACAAATCAAGTTTTTATTATTACCATCGTATTCTGCGTCAAATTTGACGTGAAAATCATGTTTTTAAAATATGGACACTTTCCAATTATTATTGTTAAAACATTAATTTGTGTAGCAAGTAATGGTAAAAAAACAGTTTTTTGAGTATTAAATGATATCTGTACCTCGTATCAAAAAAAGTTAAAAGTAAATGTTGTAGATAACTGAAACATCTACAACTTTTGTTTTTACCATTTGTCAGTATAACCTCAAAATTTTGTATTATAATGCAACAAAGCGAGAAATCACTGTTTTATTAACTATGAAAAGTAATTTTTCCTTACACCTCCGCCGAAAGTTCGTTCCATCTGACCCGATTTTGAGCTAGAAAAAGCCTCATATCAGTCCTGCCATATGTGCGCAGAACGAAGTGCGCAGATATATATAGTTATATATTCAGCACCGAGAAGCAGCAGTAGTTATNTTTTCTCAGACTCATTTTGTTGAGCGGTATCTAAATAATCGTTTTCAGATCCATTGTTTGGGATTATAGGTCAGCTCTTACTATAATTGGTACTAACTTCCTAAATCTTCTCAGCCATTGCCACAGAGGCACATTCTATCATTAAGCAATCTATAATTTCTTTACACTTCTTGTTGTTGCTTGTACTCTGACCATCTTGCACTAGTTTTACTATCCAATGAAGACTCTGTAGGCATCGGAAATTAACGTCTCGTTAGAGAGTGGGTCAAATATATCTATCTTAAGGTTACCTAAATAGATACATATGCACCTAATTACAAGCTGACGAAGCTAAAGCAAGTTTCCAGCGAGCATATTGGCGCATATCACTATATCTAGGACCATTTTGTTTTTGTTATTACTACCCAAAACCCACCTTTCTCCCTCCGCTCTCAAGTTTACGGAGGAATTTTTATTCGCGCATTTAACCAATTTTCTTTCATAAATTTTTGGTTTTCTCCGTGCGCGTAGAGAGCAAAGTTTCGGGTCCAACAACAAACATACTACTCGATGCATTATATCTAAGCAATCCTATATTACTTTAACATTCTTTACACTTCACTTAAATATTTATAGGATAAGCCATTCTCGCTTTTAAACAGTCTATTAGAATCTGCAATTTTCACATCTGGTACTTTATTGACAATCTTATGGTAAAAGTCATCTCTTTTCTCNAGCGTAGAGCTCCCTCCTCCCTTCTCCTTTCCTCAGTCATCGGTAGCGTATAAGTGC